TCTCAAAAAAAAAAAAAAAAGGCAAGAGATTTCAATGATTCCTGGTCTGAATCCACAAGCTTATTTAATTCACCAGCTACATTAATTTCTGAGCTCCCTGAAAGAAAGGTCTACGTTGCAATTCTGTAACACCAAAGGTTTTAAAGTACAGTACTCTCACCTGCCAGTAAACCTTTACTACTACACGCTTTTGATAATTCAATTTTAACCCGTACTCTAACCTATCTAAAAAAAATCACTGTAACAAGTTGAAAGTCTTACGCTAGTGAACTTACTCTACCTAGTAATGTCAACAGAGTTGTAATGTTCCATTAAGAGTAAATGAAAGTAGTAGCAGTATGTGACTTTAATAGCCTTCTGTATTTGACAAATTACCAGTAAAAGGAGGGGGAAAAGATTATACACTTCAAATACAGCTCACTTGAGCATGCTACCTCATGTGCAGTATCCCGATAAGCATGGCAACCAAACTTGAACTGAGTCTTCCCATAATACAGCAACGACTTAACCGAGAAAGCAAATCAGCAGGGAGACTGGGTAGAAAATATACGAGCTGAACCAAACGTTGCTGAGAGTCTGCAGGGAGAACCACCACGGTGCCTTCTTGTGGATCTAGTGGGGTAGGCAGACATAGTAAAATCAACTATAAAAGACATACAAACCAGAGATTAAATTAATAAAGCGGACTGATTACTTTTATTGAATTATAGGCCAACATATTATTTTAAGTATGTTAATTATATAAAAGCATAATTATATCAATATCATAAAGCATATATGTATGGCTTGTTAAGATACTTCCTAAAGTAAAATACTGAATATAATAATTTATTTAAAGATTTATTTATTTAACATTGTAATAATTGCATAATATACACGTTTTGTTAGAAATGAGAACTTCGACAGGAAAAAGAAGAAAAGGGATTGGGCACAAAACACAACAGTGAAAAACAAGCAATTCTGCTAAACAGAATTACAATTCTGCTAATCAATTACAATATCAACCTAATTTAAAGCAAAAGGTGTATATACACACAGCCCTAAATATATATGTGCAATATTAAAAAATACATATTTAAAAATATAACCTATAAAAAGTAGAAACCACCCAAATGTCCATCACCTAATGAATGGATAAATACATGTGGCATATCCATGCAATGGAATACTGTCCAACAGTAAAAAGGAATAAAGTACTGATACTTATTACAACATGGATGAATCTTGAGAATATTATGCTAAGTGAAAGAAGCCAGACACAAAAGGCCTCACATTACATAATTCCACTTATAAATGTCTAGAATAGGCAAATCCATAGATAGAAAATAGATCAGTGGATGCCAGGGGCTGGGGGAAGGAATGATAAATGAATTATATCTAGTAAATAAATTATATATATTATGTATATATCCCAGTATGTTTTCATTGATATTTCTGCTTAGAATGTTAAACAGTAAGTCAGTTCCGGAGATGACTAAAGAATAATAATACATAGAAGTCATAAGATACTGTCTTGCCACCAAAGCTTCAAAGAAATTTTTTTTAAGTACCAGATTAGTTTTGAATTTATGAATAGCAGGTGGTTTAAAAAACAATAATGTAATAAACATCTACAACCATTTACTTTCTATAACTATCCTGATAATAATATCACCAAAAATGAATTTACTGTTTGATGTTTTGTTTTGGCAATTTAACAACGGCGTAACTAATTTAGACTAAAGGAAAGGCAAACCTAAATAACTCCCCTTAGAAACTTCTTTCCTACATCGGGGTAGACCAATGACTATCTACACCATTAAATAAACTCTTACCATAAATTCGGAGAGCAGTAGCTTGTAAACTTTTTAGTAATTCTTTATTTGCTCGTGCTGCAGCAGTATGAATGATATCAATAAGCTGTGTAGAGAGCTCAGGGTTTCGGGAGCCAAGATGAGCAAGTTGCAATGGTAAACCAGCCAGCCAACGTGATAACACTTTACTACGATATCTTAGAAAGGCCAAGCAAGAACAAAACAAAGTAAAATTTTCAAAGACAAGGGAAATAAATGTAAATTTTGGAAGGTTTAAATTATGTGCCAATAACACCACATGTATTCATTTAAACACATTTGACAGCCTACAAGATGCCAGTACCATTTATTCAGCAGCAGCATTTGCGAAGACTTTATCTACTAAATTAAAAAGTTCATGTATTCTGGGGCACTATCTAAATTATATTTTTATCTTAAAGGATAAAGACACTATGTAACTCTTTGTGAACTATTTATCCTAATCGGTATTATTATACTATGTTAACAAATCGATGCATTCATTGTAAGTTGCTCCCATACAAAATAGCTTCAAATTTGTGTTATTTTAGTTCTTCAGAATACTTGCTCAAGTGCTAATGTCTCGGGTTACAGTAAACATTTCTGCTGTCCCCTAAGAGCTTAGTGATTAGAGCATGGACTTTGTTATCAGACAGACCTGAACTCAAGGCTCAGCTCTGCTATCGTCAGCTACATGATATTCGCCAACTTATTTAACCTAAGCTTGTTTCCTTCTGTAAAATGGGAGTAACAATACCTAATTCACAATAGTGTGAGAATTACTAAGATTATGAAAAGGACCTGACATTAAGTAAATACTAGAATATGTTCCAACAACTACGTACCTATGTTGAGATATTCCAAATCTGTATCTTCCATGCAAACATCTCCTTCTGACCATGCCAAATAAACCTCAAACTCACCATATCAAAAAATTAATTCCTTAATTCCATTCTTTGAGCTGTCTATCTCTCCTGTAGCACCAAACTAAGCCAGACACTTTCTCATCTTCTACTGCCCTCACTTTTATACCATAAGCCTCAATAAGTCACTAAGGGCTAGTGATTCCATTATGTTTACAGTAAAGAAAAGGTTGAAGGTGCTGCTACAGGGTGTTCCAACTGTCCTTCAGCTACAAGTAGACAAATGGAAATGTATGCCTAAGTAGTCTTTCATCGGTTCAGGTACCATTATAACATTTACTGGCACTGTTATGTATGCTTCTTTGAACTTCTCCAAAGACTGAATCAATCATTCTATCAACTTAAATAGACTACAAAATAACTCGGGGCAAGAGAAAAGAAAGAAAGAATAACAAAATTTTACCTGAGTCTGTAAGATCTCAGTTCTTCTTTCTGATAGATTTTACTGAAAAACTTCAGTAACAAAGTCCGTACTGGAAGGAGAAGGCCCCTCTGCTGATATAATGTATAAACTGCCTTAATGAGAGTCTCTGTAGCTTCTAAAAACAGAAAGAAAACCCTGTGTATGAATCAAAAATGTTTCTTCAAATTCTTCTAAATGCACAGAAGTACTTTAATTTGTTTCTACGGCAAAGCAGATCTTAGCACAAACTGATGGCTACCATCAAAGTCCTACAGCAACGGCCTAATACATAAGTCAAACCAACCAGAAGTTACAGTATAAATTTTCTTAAGGGACAACAAACCTAGGAATGACAAAAACCAGGATATTAGAAAGGTGAATTCGATAGGAACTAAACAGGAAAGCTTTGCTTTTGAATGAAAAGAATTAGTAAATCACTCTAAAACTAACTTAAATGTATCTTAACCTCACACCAGAAGAAAGGTAAAGAGACTGCAGGATTCATCCTGTATGGGTCAAAAGAAAAAGCTCTCAATTTCTAATCAAACTAGATCAGAAGAGGGTAGAAATATTTATCAATCTGCTTCAGAGTGCACCTACCTACTGAGAAAGGGATACGTTGAGTCACAAATGATTTCAGTGTTCAAGCAAATAGTGCTTTATAAATAATTAGGCTAGCTGCCCTTTAAGGCTTGAATGTAATTAACTTCACTACATGGAATGTTTCGAAGTCATTTCAAAGCTAGACCCTAAATACTATGCATAACAGCTCCTCTTTTAAATAAAGGCAAAGCAGCATCACCTACCTCTGTTTGGCTGTATCTGCATTAACCTCCACGATACTCCAAGTAATCTGTTCAGCTGCTTACTATTTAGCCTAGAGCCATCTTGAAGGGTCTCCGTCACAAACTTCCTTATCATTTCTATCCAACTGCAATCCTTCTGCAAAGTTGAGGCATTTGCCAGGGAGACCATGATATCAGACAGGGTTAAATTCAGTAAGAGGTGATCTATGTTATTGGAGAGAATCGTGCAATGCTTGATGCTAAAAACAAACAAAGACACACACATCTATAAAGTGTTACATCTACCATGCCTGCTTCACTTAGGATACTTAAAATAATCTATCAGTGGACAGAAAAGTATTTTCTTCTATAATTAATAAATTGCCAAGAAGACAGGTGCATAGGCAAGGTTTAGGCAATAGTTCTGTAAATAAACCATGCATTATGGAATCACAGTTGTTACGAAGGTATAAATTAGACTATATACTACTCAGTTCATTACTGAAGATGCTAATCACAAAAAAGGTAAATGCCTTTATAATACTGCCTAGGAATATTAAAAGACTTGAAAACTCTAACACACTTGATTTTTTTAAAAGCAGATACTTGTATTTGGATGGACATCACAGTACATCTTGGCTCTGCTTCCAATTCATCATCTGACTTAAAAGAATCACTAATTTCTCCTGGCCACAATTTCCTCATTTGTGAAATGAGGGAATTTATCCAGATAAGCACCAGTCTGAAACAACTTAATTTTGTAATTCACATAATAAAATCAGTTTATCTTCTCAAAGCTTGAAAGAAATTGCAAAAAACCCTCAAATAGAATATTTTAATAAAAATAAAATTTTCAACTTACAACTATTAATAATTTCAGACTATGGAATATTCAACAGAAAAGCCTATTTCTTTCATGTTTAGAAAAATATAAAGTTAACTAAAATCATAAATATCTCAACCTAACCAATTTTAAAGGAAAAGATTAATCCTAGATTAGGCTTAAGCAAGGACACAGTAGTGAGGAACCACAAATACACGGGAAGGGAAATAAAAGAAATTTGGTGTTACTGAGATTAAAATGCAAGGCTAGAATAACAAATGATCCTGCAAAGGTAAAATGAAACTAGATTAAAGAGTTGGAGGTCAAGGACACCATAATCAAATCTGTAGGCAAGAGAGTAACAGGGTTGCAAGCTTCCTTCAGATGCATAATTCTGTAAAAGATGATGCTGTAGATGCAAAAGGAAAGATGGGAGTGTTAGACTATAAACAAAGCAGCACTTGTGTGGCTATTATAGCAATCCAGGCAAAAGACGGCAAGTCCGAGAACCAAGGTCAATGCTGGTATGGTACGAGAGAAGGGGACGTTTAGGAAGAATAAAAATTAATTGGATGGCTCACGCCTGTAATCCTAGCACTCTGGGAGGCCGAGGCAGGCGGATTGTTTGAGCTCACGAGTTCAAGACCAGCCTGAGCAAGAGCGAGACCCT